TGGGGGGGGGGGGGGGTTCACCCTGTAAATTGGTAAATCATTTAATAAGTGAAATTGTTATAAGTCAGCTGGAATTTTCTTGCCTCTCTTCAATATGCCATTGCAAGTTTGAATTTCCTGTTCAGATTGTAGCTCCTGGCATTTTATTGGAAAAGACCCTCTGGAGGCTGATGCTTGCAGCTGGTTTAAGTTGTGGATGAGAAATGTATACTGCATTTCTCCCATTATTTAAGGAAATTCTACATGTGAATAACCCCCCTAAGGCCTTAACTCATTTTCCTCACCTCCAGTATCATGCCATACACATTGATTGGAATGCATCTGTATTTGTTTATGAATGGTGCTATGAAATGTAAACCTGTGAATTGTACACGATTGCCGGGTGCTGTTAATCAGCTGTATAAAGTGACATTAAGTGGATTCGATGGTGCTAATCACAATGAAGCCATATTTACTTTTAACCATTGACTGATGTATATCTTAATATTTCCAATAGTGTAACATAAAAAATAAAAATCCTTAAAAAGAGTAGATAATTAAAAAGGATTAATATTAAGATTTATTATTGTTATTATTATTATTAATTGTAGGTGGTTTTCTATGCCTGTGGTCATATCATACTTGTTGTCATATGTAACTTTTGTTATATATATCAGCAAATAATATTGATGGAGAAATTTTGCAGCTTTTATATATTCACTGTAATGTAATCACTAAGTATTTCTTTGAACAAGAAGCAGCTACAGTGATACAAGTGACTAGTTTTCCACGCAGCTTAGAATTGTGTTCTCATTCAGAAAAACAGACTTGAACAAACTACATATATCAGCTTATAGCATATTCAGGAGAATCTCAGAGATTGTTTCCTTTGCACTCACCAGTGATGTTGTATTTTAATTTCTAGAATTGTATCCCGTTGTTGGGTTTCATTTATGAGTTGTTTCACCACCCCTTGGTGTGTTTCAAACATCTACCGTACAATGGACTTTTGTCATAAAAATACAACCAGTGACCCTCATTCAAATTCTGACAGTAACAATCACTTTTGACTGGAAGTTTTATGTCATCTGGAAATAAGTTTTGATTTTAGTTCTCAGTTATAATCTTTAATGTCCCATTGTTGTCAGTTAGTTTCAGACCCATGTCCAAGCATGTCATGTGACATGTTTACTTTAAATGATCATTACTTTTTTAAATGACAATTTCCAGTTTTATCCAGGTTGCACAACATATACTTGTCCATTCAATTTAGGCCTCACATAATTTTTGCAAACTGAATATAGATAAGATTAAAATGTATTTAATAAGTCCATTTATAAAGTGTGTTTACTAGTCCGTATTGAATTCAGATATGCAATTTATAGAGAACATTCTTTCCTCTTGCCTCTTGAAGCTCAAACGCCATTATTATATCAATAGTCTGGTAGCTGTTCGATACAAAATTGAAGAGAAATATTGTAGCATCATTTGTTTTTCTAGCATTTAGTCAAGAGCTGAAGTAAAAGAAGACTTTTATGATACATGGGGTTATCAGGAGCCTGGAGACAGGAGCAAATGGATGAAGTATTTAATTGGTGAATTGCATGATCAAGTTCCATGATAATTGTTTTTTCTCTGTTTGTATATACTGTAGTCTTCCAAAATTCTGTTTAATGTTATATTTTCACATGGAACTCCTGGGATATGAGCCCATCGTAACCGATACATGAACAGAAACCATAATATATTTTCAATAAACAGTTGCAAAGATACTGGATGTTCATTTTTCATAAATCATCCCTTTCTTATTACAGACAAAGCTGGCTGTGTCCCTAACTTCCTTATGAGTGGATGCATTTTGTAGAGTTCATTACTTAAGTATCAATTCAAATTTTGTATCAGAAAGGGTCTGCTCGGAAAATAATTCCCGTTGAAAGGAGGCAATTACATTGCACAAATATTAATTATACACAAAACATTTCAAAATTTACAGAAATGTTATACTCAATTTTACCTCCTTGTATCACACACTCTGCCTTTCCACATTCAAGAAATTTATTTTCTTTTAAAAAGTAGTTGGTTGTCCTACATCTCAAATCTGCTCATAACCATATAATAGTAATAATGATAACTAAAGAAAATGTAACACTCGGTGTTAAAAATGAACATTTAATTTTTTGTAATAATAGTTTTTGTCTTTAAAGCAATTTCCGGTCCAGATGATAAACATTTTTAAAGATAAACACATTCATTCACAACAGTAATTATAATTTGAGTTCCCAATCCCTATTTAAAGTTCAGTAATTTAATTATCTACAGGCTAATACCAATAATGTAATACAAAGCATTCAATACGAACCATATAATTCATATATATATATGTGTGTTACAGATTGTTTTTTTATTACACCAGAGACGTCACAATTAATCACTCGTAAACCATAATAAGGATATAACTTGACTCATTTTAGTCTGAATCTTAAATCAACTCAATGTCTTTATTAAACTGAAGATAATGCATGTTATCAGGTTTCAGTAGCAAAGTCTATCAAGAGCTAAATTTCCAGTTCAATCTTACTCTACATCCCTTGAGGTTTGAGCTGCTTTTTCTGTGAAAGGTTGATTTTATCTCCTAATCTCCTCAATGCCTAATCTCCTCAATGCCATACCCTGCAAATGAAAAGAAATCAGTGCATATGATTTTTTTTAAACAAAATGTGTAACTAAGATATAAATTCATATATCCGGTAATGTAACTGGCTGGAACTTTTACTTAAAACACTTGATTTTCAACAAACGAAATGCCAAAAAGGGCATTGAAAATATGAAAAAGGTTTCTAATTGTTCTTCATATATTTACCTGACTTTTTGCTCTGATTCGTATGTGTCCAGTCACTGGGGCATCAGGCTGAGCTGGTTTCTCAACACTGATGTTGGCAAGTGCACTCTCTCCAAATATAGATTTAGCATACATATTAGCAGCCATGAAACCACACTCTCCATCCAAAGCCTGCAAGAAACAAGGATTGTATCCAATTGTTTTAATCAACTTCAATTACTGTAATTGCAATGAGAAGTTCGACTCTGCCTATGGCCATGATCTCATTTACTCAAACACTTGGTACATGGGGAGATGAAAGATGAAATTGTATCAACAGGGATAAGTGTTTTCATTTTCACTTGAAAATAAAAAAATGAATACTGTACATGTTAAAATTGCTATCATAAAGGTGAAATAGTTCTTGGTGAAAGACTTCAGAAGTTTTAGTTTCTATTCAAGCATGCTGCATTAACAAAGTTAATGCTTTTTATACAATGAATTACTAACATGGCATTTTTACTGGGAGTAATAATAAAATCATTGTCTATAACTATTATGTTGAATTAAGCCAAGGACAGAAAAAAATGTAACAAATATAAATCAATTTTGGGGGTTTGCAGTCAATATGCATAATGTCATTACTTAAAATGATGACAGCAATATCAGTGAAAACAAACTGCCACCCACTTACTACAATATACGGTTTCATAATACCACATACCAACCTTTACCTGCAAACAAACAGGATTTACCAATTTCCTGAAGTACATGATATTTTGAAGCCCAAGTTTACCTTTTCAGGTGTGAGACATTTCATGTTGGTTGAGCTGATCAAGTGTTCCAGATACTCTTTCAAATCAGATATATTAGTGTTGACGCTGACTTTGTTTTCCCACTCAAACTCAGCCCACATCTGTCTGTATTCTGTGTCTGTGCACGAGGCAGGCACTATATGTAGTCCATAATGTCTATATGGATGTCATTCAGCACTACACAGTTGCAGTCACTGGCTGCTCCACTCACATCATATTCTATGTTAGGAAAATTATCATTTAAGTCATCTACAGATTATAAGTCAAATCTGAATACATAAATGATTTCTGGCATACTTACCAATGTTTCCAAAGATGATTCCATTTTCAGTGGAGGCTACTTTAACATTGGCCTAGATGTTGCAAAAATCATGTGCACCCATAGTCACCGGCTGTGGTTTTTCAACCAGTTTAAGATCGCCTGAATCAAATAAATGTTTTAGCATAATTAAATAGCAAAGTCAATTGGTAGATACTAGAACAGGAGATGGCAAAAAGTTTGCTCCCATCAAAAGAAATCCATTCAATTTGGGCAAAAATGGTATTCATTAAGGATCTATTCAAATCCAAAATAATTCCAGTATGTTTAACATGCATCATTGTTCAATAAGCTATCATGGGAATGCATAAATATCAAGGAGCACTAATTAAGGTGATGAGTTATTCTTTTTTTTTTTTTTTTTTCTTTTTTCTTTCAGAAATTTAAAATAGTTTTAAATTATAGTTGGAGAAGTGCCATGTAAGTCTGAATCATTTCTACAAATGGAAAAAAAAACATTCACTATACATATGCCTAAAAGTGCAAGTTTTAAAACATTCTAATATCTATTAATATGCTGATGGTACAGGGGTTTAGCTGGCTACAGCTGGACAATGGAACAAATATGCCACAACGTTTGTATATTATAAGGAAAAAAGGAAGAGTAAATTTAAGTTGAAAAAAAAGCAGTATTGAGTGCTGTGCAAATGAAGGATTTCTATTCCTTCGATAAATATGAAAACCTACTGGTAAACATATATTAAAAAGACTTACTTTAAACTTTATTATGAAGTGTGCACAAGAGTAGCTAACAGCTAACAAACCAATGCACTAGTATATACCTATTACAACACAGCAAAAACATCCAAAGACCTAGAACATCACTGAACACTAATAAGACACCTTATCAAGTGTTGCCAGTTCCAATTTAAAAACACACCGCTCAACAACATGTGTAAGTGTCACAAAGTATGACAAAAGTGGAAATGTGCCTCCTACTAAGTGTTGCCAGTTCCAGTGTCAGATTCTGGAGAGTGTCAGAAGTCTGGTTGACAATGAGGACATCTAACACTATGTCAGCATACACTGGTTCAGAGAATCCTGTCAACTGGGTCACCTAAAGCATATGACAAGAAATGATATTATTCTCTTTTTTATATTTATTTATATTTTATATATATTTTATATTTATTTTATTGTCTTGTAATAATAACAACATTCCGCACAACCCTGATAATGAATTTCCCCTCTGCTGAAATCCACAATAAATTATCTCTGATTCAATACTATGAGAAAGTGAGGTATTTTCATAAGTAAAATAAAAATTCTTTGCAAAATTATATGAGAAAAAAAAACCCAGTTAAAAATCAATAACAAACAAATTTTTCAAATCTTACCTTGTTCAATTTTGATGACAATAGTTCTTTCTTTCCAGGTACAGTGCCTAAGGCCTGGGACATGGTCAGCTCAAACATATTCTAAAATTTTTTCAACAAAAACTAGTTAATGAGGATAAGAAACTTGTTAAACAGATTTCACTATGTATTTGTTATCTTAGTATTTTACACAAATGTGATAATCAATCTATGCAGACAAAACTAGGCTATTATTATTCAGATACTGACTATTTCTCCTGGCATATAGTATTAAGTTAATGGATTGTAAAAGGATAGGTATACCTCTGTGGTTCCAAATTCATTCTTAGCAGCCAACTGAATGAAGCTGATTGGATCATCAGCTTGAATCTTCAGTTTTAGATTCAGATGCCTAGAAATGAAAATATTGCAATAGAAGGTCTAGAAATTGGGACAATCTGTCATTTTCTTTAAATGATTAGAAAATGTTTAAATAAAACATTTATAGCATAAATCAACTAGCCTTAAATCTTCAAATATGATAAAACATGATAAAAATTATCACTCAGGATTCATAGCACTTGAAACATTTACTAGATACACTAGTTATAGAGCCTTGGTCCTTCTTACTGGAGGAAAACATTACAGTACCTTTTGTGTGAGCCTCTCATCTTCTGCCTTGGCAGCCAGCATGCCTGACAAGGATTCTCTGCACAGCTGGTTGAAGATCTCGTACATCTTGGGGGATCTCTCAGAAAGCACTTTCAAACACAGGGCAATGCGATCCAGGGCATCATCATTGATGGGCTTAAATGTAGAAAACATATTCAGCTACAATGAACACTGCAAAATGTAATTTCAAACAAAAAGCCTCTCAAAACTGGATGCCAATCCAATGCTTGTTGATGTGTTCAATTAGAATTAGCCTAAAATTGCAGTTACTACAACATAATAAATAGATTAGCAATTCTCATGTGCAGAATATTCTCAAATGTTTTTTTTTTTTTTTCTACAGTAGATAATATAAAATGCATGACATTTTTATAGAACATATGGTCTTACCAGTGTAGAAAGGCCAGATTTCCCCAAGTGTATAATAGTAGACATAATCAGCATGCACTCTGCTACAAATGACTGGAAAATAAAAACAAAACAGAGATAAACAGTCATGAATTCAGTCTGCAACTTAGACAATAATGATAAAACTCTCACACACTCAAATACAAAATACCTCAACTTTTGAAAACTCTCATTAGGACAAGTTCTCCATTTTATCAGTTTACTTTGGAAAACAAGGAAAAAACTAATATACAGCACATGCTATTCAAATTTATTTTTGATTTTATAACATTTCTTAGAACATTAAGTTAAAGATTACTCCAGAATTCTTACATTTTGTCTCCTCGGTTCTGTGACAACCTGGGTGTATCTCAAAGCAAGCTTAGTGAGGATGTTGGCCAGAGCAGCACCATTAAAGAAGTCCCCCTCTATCAGCCATTTCCTCAATGGTGGCCTGGTATTGGAGTAAATAGCATTTAGCTGAACACGGCAGAGAAGAGCATATCATGGGCAGGAGTAAATGTTAATTATCACATAATTCTGATTTAGCATGCCACAGCTTAAGTAATGAATGGAAAGTTCATGCTTACAGTAAGGCATACAGTAAGGCCAATGGTAAACTGACTACAGTTCACTTAAGCATAGGACTGAATGTAAATTCAAAGTTATTTGAACAATTGTAATTTCATTTACTGTAAGTGAAACATTTTTTGATTGTGTACATCAGTATGCTGAAACACAAGATTCCAATATACTACAGGAGGTCAGTGCAATACCAGCTTGCATGATGATAATATTGATTTCTAAAAACATACAGTGGAAGTATTCAGTTATGTTTCAGCCCAATAAAATTTACATAGCTATAATATAGACTGTTTGTACAAAACTGCACACTTCAAATATCATTCCATAGTGTAAAATATTCTATATAGAAGAAAGTTCTGATGAGAGATCTGTATACGTATGTAAAAAGGTCTTACCTCTCCTCTGCCCCCTTGGTAGCAGAGACAGTACTAAATGCACTCTGAGTGGCATAAGTCCCAAGCTCTGTCACCAACTTCTGCACTGTGCCAGTCTGGGCCACCTGGGATTCTGGATTAAATGATTAACAGCACATTTGAAGAAATTCCTAGCTATTCTGCACTTTGAAACAACGTTGAGACACCTTTTTACACATCCATATCTCGAAGTCCATTTTGTATGCAACTAGATTTTTAGTGAAATTTATCTAAAATTATTAACACAACTAACCATCTTCCTTAGTTTCTCCTACAGCCTTTGTTATTTCATCATCAACAATTGGAATCTGAAAAAAGTGCCAATGAACTTAAAATAATAAATAATATAATGATGCTTAAGGCCTAGTTTAAGCAATTACATACTTGATAGACTTAATTGATGAGAAAACTTCCAGCATCTTATTGACCACAAGAGGGTGCAAATCTCTGCATGGCTTCACGCACAAACACCAACACATTCAAAGCAGCCAGTTCATTAGCATCATTCAAAAACTCCATCAACTGTAATATATACAAAATGCATGTCAATTATTTTCATGTTCACATACTATTTTTTTCTTTTTTCCAAGATTTTAGCTACAGTGTAACGTCTGACATTAAATGGAGCAGACTGATACACCTTGACCTGACACTAAAAGATTAACTGATCTCCAAGAAAGGCCAAATTAAGTACTTGGAATATAGTATCATATATTACTATCATCTTTTATTTTATGACATGGGTCCCTGTGCAATCTCTTTGTTGATTATGTTATAGACTTTTTTCTGTCTATGTCAGTTTAATTGTGAAAAGATCTTTCAGACCTCCTGCCACAATAGTACATACCACTGGTATAACAGTCTGGGCCACATCAGGGAACCTCACACAGCACTGGTGGAGGGTACGGACTAATAGCTGGCGGTACTTGCCAGTGTCCTCCTGCTCAACTGTGTTGTTAGTCTTCACCACTTCCTTCTTCAGAACCAGAACCATCTGACAGGAAAGATAGAAGGGATTACCTTCTGATTATGAAGTTGCATGCACTGTAAGGCTTCGTTCACATGCAATGTCTATTTTCTAAATTCTATTTTCTATTCGCACTATGATCACGGTCTGTGCACTGAATATCCCGCCGCGTAATTACTGGCAGCGCGAGCCAGTTACTTATAGTAACTTATAGTAACTGGCTCGCGCTGCCAGTAATTATATGCGGCGGGATATTCGGGGCACAGACCGTGATCATAAGACATACCGCAAATAGAAAATAGAATTTAGAAAATAGACATTGCATGTGAATGAAGCCTAAAGCTGTTCCACTTTAAAATACAACTACTCAAGTCAGATAAACCACGGGACTGCATAAAATTGGCCATTTCTTTTTTTAATCTCTTGTTCATCACGATATCTAAAGTTTCCAATGACCAAAATTAATCATAAGTTTAAATTTCATTGTAAATTTTTTTAATTCAAAATCAAAGTTCCTCCAATAAATAGGTACCTCTTCCACATTCCTTGATGTGATAAGGTCCAGTGATAACCCCAGAGTCTTTCTGTGTACTTCAAGATCAGGAGCTGACAGCACTCTTAAGATGTCCATTACAAGTTCCTATTAAAACAAAACATAACTTCCATGATAACATAATTTACCCTTACTACTTCTGATACACATAAAATTTGGCATACAGAACAAGTACAATTTCCTAGGAAAGAGAGAGAGAATTTGGCCAGTAGACTACAAAAGAGGTATAAAAGTTTCATCAATATTCCTCTTACTTAAAACTTGTATAATAACTTTTACTGACTACCTTTGTGGCTTACAGAGAGATTATACTAATCATGTTATAAAATATACCGTTTACAGGTACAGTTTCACACTCACCTGCAGCACTTTCTCATGTGATGGTACCTCTTTCAAGGCAAACAACCTGTCCAACACAATAAGCTTCACATTGTTGCCAATCTCCTTCACAATAAGTTCAATGTAACAGCTGTCAGCAGCCTTAAATAATAGGAAATTATTATTATTCCAATATTAAGTGGTAACGTCTATAGAGTCACCAGCTTACAGTAAGCCTCCAACACTGGAAAGAGGCTTTTAAGAAAAATTGTTCTGGTCCTTGGCCCTTGCTTGCAAGCATTATAAATTCGAAATGGGAAACATTCTGTCAGTGCAAAGATAAGAACTACAGGTAACTCACCAAAAAATACTAAACCTATTTCTCATGTAATTTTGTCAACCAGTGATGTTCTTACATATTTAAAGCTTAGCTTTCATCACTACAAACCTGTCTTATTCAATAGGTTTATTCCTCTACTCACTTTGATTGCTGTTGGAGCACTGGATAGAGTGACCAAGGTGCCGGCCACCTCATACCTCACAGCTGGACTGGAGGAATTCAGTAGATTGTAAATACAGTGAATAAAGCGGGATCTCTCAGATGGATTGGCATGGCACACCTAACACATTAAGAGAATGAGCGTTAATGAGAATGAGAATGATACACCTTGAAACTGGGGGGATGGGGGTTGGAAGGGCACTGTTAAATTCTTTAATAGAAAAATATACATAATTTTTCACACTTCCCAACTAAAACTCGAGAGTCACAGTTTATTACCTTGTAGATAAGTTCCACTAAAACCAACTGGAGAATGTCTCCAAATGATGTCACAGTTTACAAGGTAGGACAGAGCACGCTCCTGAGAAAATATTCAATTGCAAGTCTTCAAATTCTTATAACAGACATTATATATTACAAACATCCAAGGCATGTTCAAAATCAATTTACATGTAATAAGTATCATTTGATATTAATTAATAACACACTCCAAAGGTAATTTGGCTAATATTTTGTGAAAGCCATAGATTCACATTTGTTAAAAACAAGTATTAAACAAAGTTTAGCAAAGCCTGAATCAAAAGTATGATAGATTGATCAAGGTCTTATGAAATATAACAGACAGTGATTTCCAAGTACCTGGTCAACATGTATCAGCATCATAAAGGCATTTCTCTTGCAAGATGCATCTTGTTCACCCTCCAAGAAATTGGCAATTAACTCTGGAGCATCAGGGATCAAAAAGTCAAAGTTTCTGAAAAAAAATATTGAGATATTAAGATTTTATGTTGAAATGCATGTAGAATGCATGTAGCCATTAAAGGCTATTATCTTAAACTTCTAGGATGTCTCCTTAATGTCTTTTGTGAGACAATTTTAGGGATTATCAGCATGTTTTTGTTCTGCACAGATGCAAGACATGAGAAGTTTCACAAACAACAAATAAAGAAGAATTCAATGGCAAGCTACATCATTATTTTGCATTCACCATAACTTTGTTTTATTAAATTCATTCAACCTTGAGAAAATTTTGAAAATTCTTTGTAGAATAAATAATCTTGATGACACCTTGATTACCAGCACTGAGGTTATAAGCTATTAGGCCAAGAAGTGAAAAAATTGGTCAACCACAGGTAGGTCTCCTGGGTATATTTCAGTATTTGACAGACTGGTTTCATTGCTAAATAATGAAAATTGTTGATGAGACCAAGCTGATTAACAAGTTGATTAACCGCTAATAGTAGAAGTATTTCTTTGCTGGCTGACCCTGAGCAACATTTTTTGGCCTGCCACAAACTCTCTTCCAAAAGAATGAACGTTCACAGTGCAAATTTGTGAAAATCAATTTACAGCAACAAATTTTTTTTGCAAACTTTCCACATTGTTTAGTAGGTAGCCCCTCCATTTATCAATCACAGTTTACTTACTAGTTGTATAGCAAACTCACGTAATAACAATGGAACCCTACCTTTAAAAGTTCTATTTTTACATAGACTCTTTTACAGACTGCAATGTGTTTTTATTGGAGATCACAACAATGCCCAAATATACAATGAGATATTTGGTTCAATAAACCTATTCAAGGGAAACAAAATGTATCCTCTACCAGGGCAGCAGATATTACAGGTACATTTTCCACCAGCTACAGCTAGAAGATTTCAAGACCATATTTAGCCAGAGACATTATCTGGGAAGATTTAGTGAAAAATCAATCAGTGGGCCTGGTAGAAGGTAAGTAAAATGGTCTTAGAGACACGTACATTCTAGAAAGAAAACAGAATGTCCTGTTCAAACTTAAATTTACTTTTACTTTACTAGGTAGTTAATTTTACCATAATAGGCTCTAGTTAAACAGCTTTATGTATAGTTAACCCACATAATAGCCATAGAACCTTGTCAAAAAAATCTCCACATAAACAATCATACTTTTTGTACTTATTTACTGGAGTAAGCATTGACCTAGATACAGATAATGGTATGTTAGCATGGAGACTAGGCAAACTTATAACAATTTAACAATCTAAGCTATCCGATAGCTGGTTAACCTACAATATAAAAATAGAACTTATCTCTTTTGTCATTGGAGTAAGCACCGACCTAGACTGGGTTTCCACAGATTAAGATCGATCCATCTGGATCGACCAAACTCCCTGGGGGTTCGCGCTAAATTGCTGTCAGCTTTCAGGAGCTGAGCGTGCACCAAAGTTAATTACCCCCTTACAGCTTTTAGTAGGTGGGACAGACATTTAAGGCAATTAAGCTGATAGCAATCTAGTGAGACTGCCCAGGGGGATGGATCGATCTAAATATCTGTGGGAATGGTCTCCTAGATACAGATAAGGGCATGTAAACAAGGAGAATAGTAAACAATAAATTATGAAAAAATATGAAAGATCAGGCCCATTTCACAAAGAAAAAAAACCTTGCCTTAGGAACGCATCATCAACACCATGATGACAAAATAATCAGACAGAGAGACGAGAATGCTAAGAGAAGAATGAAAACATATGCAGATGAAAGAAATAGAGCAACTGCACCGCCACCTATCAAACCTGGCGACCCTGTTTTAATCAAACAACAGAAGGAAAACAAACTCTCATCGAACTTTGATCCAGTACCCTTATCAGTAACAAAAACAAACGGATCCATGATCACCGCTCAAAAGCCAGATGGATCATGTCTGACCAGAAATTCTTCACACTTTAAGAGACTTCCCAAATCCATTAATATCTAGTCTAAAAGCGATATTGATGATGACTTTGTCATTGTTGAGGACCAATTGACACCAGAGCATTCAAACGTTGAGGAAAACATCACGCCAAGGAGGTCTCAAAGGAGTAGAAGACCACCTGCTTATTTAAAGGATTATCTAACTTAGAACATTATGAAAGGAAACGCGTTTGTTCAAAGACACTGATAAATTCATTGTTTATTTTGAAGTAGTCGTAGAGCATTTCTGATTTTTAACTTAAAAAAAAAAAGAGTGAGAGACAATAGTGTTCATAATCCACCGCAAGGAAAATATACTTTAACTCTGTTTAACTTACTTGAACTCTGTTTGAAGGGAAAGAGAGCTGTGCATCTCATCGATTGGACAAAAAAAAAAAAAAAAAAAAACTGAGAACAGTGCATCTCATCGATTGGACATTGGAAAAAAAAAAGAACTTACTTAAGAAAGGAACTTTAATTTGGAAAATACTCACCTACAACTTTATTGTCATAGTTGTAATTTTAGATATAAATGTTTGTTTTTTTTATTTGTTGAAAAAAAGGAGGGATGTAGTATCCTCATAAATATTCATATATCATGTGACCCAGACGCTTACTATAAGTGTCCACGTGTAGTGTAATAAAGTAGAGTGCATATGTGTAAGTAAACCTCCAGTGCGTTAGCGTTCTGATTGATAACAAGAATAGCACAGTCAGTTCTCGGGTTAAGTTGTCTAGATGTTCCATGAGACTGCTGTAACACTGTTCCTGATAACGTAAGATGTGTGCATGTGTTCATTTAATGTTGGTAACAAAGAGCCAGAGAACCCAACTTTTTTTTTTTTTTTTTTTTGTAATGAGGCCAGGGGGTAAGTTTGAAATGCTGATGCCTTGTCACACATTACTCAAGTATAGTCAATGGAAAGATGGATATGATGTTAGCCTACTTCCAAGAAATGGTTGTTACCACTATAAATAAATATAGGAACAATTTAAAAAGTTCACTAAAGAGGACCATGTTACTCCTTCATTTGTTCCTAGTAGTTATAGAATTCAGCTCATATCAATGCTTTTACAAAAAGCATCTTAAACCAAAACAGTTAGGAGATCATGATTTCACAGTTAATTGCTAATAAAGACTAGGAATGATTTGCAAAGTCTAGATTAATTTCTACCGTTTTTTTTTCACGTCATAGTATGCAAGTGTCAATGCTTGCGAGAGCAATGTTTTCAGTTCCTGAAATGCATTGTCCTTTTCTGATGTCCAGTTCCATTCGATGTCTTTACGGGCAAGTCTTTTCAGTGGCTCCGTAATAGTTGCAAAGTTGTTTATAAATCTCGAGGAATATTGCGCCATGCCTAACAATGAACGAAGTTCAGACACATTTGTTGGTTTTGCCATTTTGACCAGTGATTTCACTTTACCTGGGTCGAGCACGATTCCTTCAGCGGAAAACACATGTCCATAGAACAAAATTTCTCTGCAATTAAACTTGCACTTTTTAGCATTTACAGTTAACCCTTTCTCACTCAGTCGTCGTAACATCACATGTAGTTCGGCCTCGACATTATCTTCAATTTTTTTGTTGAATTTTGTCAATATTTCTGCATCTTTACACTTTTGCCATTTTCACCTCGTCGCCAATGTGATATTCTTGTTATGAATGAGAACGCTAACGCACTGGAGATTTACTTACATATGCAATGACTTTATTTCACTACATGTGGAAACTTACAGTAAGCAATGGAGTCACATGATACACATGAATATTTATGAGGATACTACAACTACAAAAATCAGTCTCCAATCAACAGCTTTCAAATACTAACACAACACAAACTTTATTATATAACAAGGCAGCAAAGCTGTCAAATGTACAGATAAAAAGCAGAAAATAACAATGCACAAAATAGTCAATTCTGATGCTTATGCTTAACTGCAAATTCAACATCAAATTTTAATTATGCTCAACAGGTAATACCAATGTAAGTAAAATGCAGACATGCTGAAAAATTTTCAGAATGGCCGGACATTTGGACTGGCAGTAATGAAAAATTTGCCGGACCGAATGAATTTTTGTCGGACCGAAAATCACCCTATTCGTTTGAGACAGATACTACCAGTGCAATCAGGTGGCTTACTTTGTTTGTGAATGTGATAGGTTTAAAATGGAAGGGAAAAAATGCTTTGGGTTTTATACAATTTTATTAGAGAAGTATGTCCTATGATGACTGTAAATTCAAAATAGTGTTTCTGAAAACTCTTGTCGGTCCTTTGGACTGACCAAGTCCAATTTTTTCCCGATCATGACCGATCGGACAGTCAGTTTCAGCATGTCTGAAAATGTGTAACAAGCATAAGGCTTCAGGCCCATGGGAGTTCAAGTTCACACTTTGAAAATGCCAGAATGAGAAAAATGAAAATTTCACACAAAATTGCATAAATTCAATAATAAATGATAACCCAATTGAGCTGGCTTTCTAATTTGAACTGCATGCCAATCCTAAAAATCATACTTGTAAGTTTAAAATAATAATAAGTAACACAGTTTTCTTTTCATAATGTTTGTAGCAGCAGTGCAAAAAGATTTTTGTCAATTTTGATGTAACATTACCTAATAAATTACAGAATAATTATCACCAATTTTTGATTATTGACTATAAATAGCATGGACATGTAGAAGATTTGATTACCATTTGGCTTCATGTCCATGGGAGCTCTGAGTCCCACAATGAATATCCCAACATGATAAAAATGAATATTTCACTGAAATGTATAACTTCAGAAAAAGAAGCCAATTAGACTGCTTTTCCAACTCAGGCTGCATTTTAGTCCTGTGTTTCTGGGTTTTCTCATAATGGTCATCATGGCAGCAGCACCCAAAGTTTTCTTCTATTTTGATACATAAATGCTTAACAGCAAAATGACCATCAATTTTTAATAATATAATATATGTATCATGGATTTTCAGAAAATGTTACTAGCATGGGTCTTCAAGCCCATGGAGGTTCTAATTAAGTCACACCTTGAAAATGCCAATATGTGAAAAATTAAATTTTCACAAAAAACTGTTTAACTGCCAGAAAAATTTACCAAACAGATTGCTTTTCCAACTCAGGCTGCATTTTAGTCCTGTGTTTCTTTTTTGAAAGTTTGACAATCATAAGAAACGTGGTTTACATTAAATGGTCATCATGGGAGCAGTGCCCAAAATAGGGGTTTCTTCAGATTTTGATGCAATATTACATAATGTTTAAGACCATAATGACCATCAATTTTTATTAATAAAATATTAGTACCACGGATATTCAGAAAATGTGACTAGCAAAGGTCTTCAGGACCATGGAACTTCAAAGTCACACCTTGAAAATGCCAATATGTGAAAAATTAAATTTTCCACAAAAAAACGTTAAACTGCCAGAGAGAATTACCAAACGATCTGAGGAAATGTGAAAAAACAGCATAACTTCTAAAATAATGGCCCGATTATGCTGATTTTCAAACTCAACCTGCGTTTTAGTAAGATTGACCACTCCTGTGAGTTTAATGACAATTGGCCTATCTATTTTTCTTATATTGTGTTTACAGTGTTGCATATATCCTGAAAAGTGAAAAAACAGCATAACTAGTAAAATAGTGGCCCTATCATGCTGATTTTCGAACTTGACCTGCGTTTTATGAATATTCATCAGCTTTGTATATATAAAGGTCAAAAAATAAAACCACTTATCGTGTTAACACTGAAAGTGCACGGTGACGGCGAAGGCGATGGTGACAGCAACGGCAACAGCGACGGTGACAACAGACACAGGTGATGGCAATAAAAAAGTTGCTTTAGTTGAAAAATGGTAGTTTTCACTATCAGTGGTTAACTCAAAATTCAGTGATTAAACCTATTCAAGGAAAACAAAATGTATCCTCTACGAGGGCAGCAGATATGACAGGTACATTTTCCACCAGCCACAGTTAGAAGATTGACATTATCTATTAATATCTAGTGAAAAATCAATCAGTGGGCCTGGCAGAGGGTAATCAAAATGGCCATGGAGACATAGGTACATTCTAGAAAGAAAGCAGAATTTCCTGTTCAAACTTCAAATTCACATTCACTTTACCACATTCATTTTACCACAATAAGGTCTAGTTAAACAGCTTTCTGTATAGTTAACCCACATAATAGCCATAGAACCTTGTCAACAAAAACTCCACATAGACAACCATACTTTTATTAGTTTTCTTTTTACTGGAGTAAGCATTGATTTAGAATGGCCTAGATAGGGCGGTCAGTATTCTGATACCTTGTCACATATTCCTCAAGTATAGTAACACTATGATCTCTAGCTTAACATCTTTAGGATTCAGATGGAAGCCTATCTAATCTTGTTCTATGTATAGGATATGCACTGACCTTAAAAGCATAAACCAGTTAAAATTCATTACACTATTTTCTATCAAGTTATACCATTACAGGCACAAGGTAAGTTCCATATCTACAGGTATGTTAACTGTATCTGCATCTCTTCTGTATAAATAGTTTTGTTCTTCATAAGCAAATTGAATGAAAAAAAATAGATATACAGAATTTAAAAACCATCTTCACCTATAACTCAGGCAACACATTATATCATCCCATATATTGTCTTTAAAGCCTAGGTCCCAACGGAACTTACGGGCTGTTACATGTTGTCTACAACAAAAAAAATGGGGGAAAACGTGGGAGTTTGTGCATGAGGAGTACATCCATCGTGCAACTTTTAGAGGATGCAAACAGCACGTAGAAACTTTTCACCAATTACTTGATTCCTTCCCTGCGATCTAGCTACGTCCTAGCCGGCCGAGGAACCTAAAAAGCGTGCGTCCAAAACGTAGTTGGGACCTAGGCTTAACAGGTTCTTCTTCAGAAGTCATTTGAAATAGTAGGAAATCCATCACCTATTTATATAAAGAAGAGGGCATTTGATTAGCCACACCGAAGAAGCAGAAAGAGTTATAGAGAACTATGCACTACATTTGTCTGGCAAGCATACCAAATATGCTGCTGGGATAACTGATCATATTAATGGTATCCTTAAGGTGGATCGATATATTAGGACCTATTTCCTTATTTACTTAAATAATGCATAAATGAAAACAATGATATATAAGTTAATGCTGTGAAATCAAAAATACATCAAGGTGAATTTATATATATATTGTGTGTGTGTGGTGAAATTTGTGTCTCAATTTCAAACAGATATCCTTCACCTGAACAGCTATCACCACCACGTAAATGCCTATTTAATAACAACAATAAGTACTACAATCTGGTGCTTAGGTATCTTTTTGAAAGGCTAACTTCTGATTTTATTGGTCAAGAATAATGCCTTTGCTTAAAGCTACATGTAAAGTGAGAATGGATTTCTGGTTACGCACATAAACCACTTCTACTTGTTTCTTATATGACTCAAATAAAGTTGATATGCCAAGGGATATACAAAATTAATCATCAGATCAGCCATAAAATCTAAAGAGCTTTAAAACTGCTTTTCATCAAATTTTTGGTCATAAATTGACCTACTTATCTGCCTCACATACATAGTTGAAAATGTCATTTTATTGACATTTGTACTTTGATAAATAAACAAAGTACGAATTCAAAATACATATAGTTAAATATTATCATATGAATGATAATCATGTATGGTAAATCATTCACAAGTTTAAGATATAATTTTAAGTTTAGCAAAGATGGAGGGAAAAAAATTGTCACAAGTGAAGTGGCACTGATTTTTTAAAGATTCCTGTTCTAAAGTTGGCCTAGGCTGAGAGCGAACTGCACAACCCCTACCTTTTACAAGACGGGACATACTCCACCTAGTGGTCAAACAATAGCACTGAGGCAGACTGCAGCAAAGAGCAGTTGAAATTCTGCACATACAGGAAATCTAACATATCGTTTGTCTCATTCTCTTTTCGACAATATCCAGGCCTACCCAACTACCAGTCTCGGCACCGAATGATCCTGAATTCATCATTTTCAAGGTATGCATCAGTACGCATTTCACATTATCATACCCGAACAAATTTTGAGTGGTAATGCAATATTTTCCAACCCCACTGAGAATCATCACTATCACAGCACGTACTAGGCAAGAACAGTGTCGCATCTGATACTTCGAAACACGTACTGACACTCACCTTGAAAACGGGTAGTGTGGTCCGATCTACCGGTGAATTCAGGATCATTCGGTGCCGAGTCTGGTAGTTGGGTAGGCCTGATATCACTTCTTTCATTGGAATAAGCAATGACGTAGATACAGGATTGTTAGTGCTATTTTAGGAGACTTCAGATCTCTTTGCCAGAGAAATAAATGTAGAGAACAGTCAGTCAGACTTAGTCTAGTCTATAACATCATTTTGACCATGACTCCACCAAGTGGTCAAACAACAGCACTGTGGAAGACTGCAGCAAAGAGCAATTGAAATCATACAGATGTTGTGTTACAGTGTCTGTGATGGAGAAGCAACTTGGACCTATTGTCCCCTGTGATAGTTTTGGAGTTATAATGCAAACCAATCAGTATCTAAATAGCAGTATCTAAATAGCAGTTTAATTGACAATAAAAAAACAGGGCAGAGCAAAAGCTTATTAAGCCGTCATAGAGTTGATTTATGTTGACATAACACATCTGCAACATGTTTCACTTATCAACCCTAACCTAATTACTTACTTCCTGATCAGAACAAATTAATAGGCACTTTATAAGATTGCTGAACATGTAGCAGACGGTTGACCTTAGACGCCAAAAAAAGTGTCACAGCAACGAGGTTACCCAGATAGCAANGCCAGGCAATTTTTGTTCATGAGGCCTGTAAGCCAAGTCGAAAAAAATTGGTCTTCAACTTGTGTGTCTCTGGGTATTGCAGATTGTGGCACTTGACAGACTTGTCCCTTTGGTATATATTTAAAAACTCTTGCTGTGAAGACCAAGATGATTAACCACACTGATATTTTTTGCTCCCAATGCCCAAGGTCACCCCTTTATTTAACATTGTAAGCTATCTGATTAGTTAACCTTTCATTGGAATAAGCAATGACGTAGATACAGGGTATATATACAAGGAGAATAGTGAGCAAAAAATTGTGAAAAAATATGACAGATTAGGCCCATTTCACAAAGAAAAAACCCTTTAGTCAGTTCTCGGGTTTAGTTGACTAGAACTTCCATGAGACTGCTGTAACACTGTTCCTGATAGGGTAAGATGTGTGCATGTGTTCATTTAATGTTGGTAACAAAGATATTAGCCAGGTAATATGGTGGATGTGATGTTAGCCTACTTCCAAGGAATGGTTATTACCACTATAAATATATATAGGAACAATTTAAAAAGTTCACTAAAGAGGACCATCTTACTCCTTCATTTCTTCCTCGTAGTTATGGAATTCAGGTCATATCAATGCTTTTCCAAAACAATAGTGAATGGTGAACAATAAATTGTGAAAATATATGATAGATCAGGTCCCCGTTTCACAACAAAAAACTTAAGTCATTTCTCCAGCTTAGTTGACTATGACTAACATAAAAGCTGTAACATTGTTCCTGATAGGGTAAGATGTGTGCATGTGTTTATTTAATGTTGGTAACAAAGATATTAGCCAGGGAATCCAATTTAATTTTTTTTTAATGAGGCCAGGGGGTAAGCTTGAAAAACTGATGCCTTGTCACACATTCCTCAAGTATAGTCATACTGTGATCAATGGAAAGATGGATGTAATGTTAGCCTACTTCTAAGAAATGGTTGTTACCACTATAAATAAATATAGGAACATTTTAAAAAGTTTACTATAGAGGACCATATGTTAATCCTTCATTTGTTCATTGTAGTTATGGAATTCAGCTCATATTAATGCTTTTCCAAAAAGCATTTTAAATTAAAACAGTGAGGAGATCATGATCTCACAGTTAATTGCTATTAAAGAATGATTTGCAGACTACAAAAATCAGTCTCCAATCAACAGCTTTCAAATACTATAACACAAACTTATATTATATAATACAAAAGTTGCTTTAGTTGAAAAATGTTAGTTTTTACTATCAGTGGGTAACTCAAAATTCAGTGATACTCTGCTATATAGTGGCAAAAGTATTGAGAAATAAAGATTTAAGATTATGTCACCACCTGTTTATGTGGCCCGTGGTCCCTTCTTTAAAGCCATGTTTTTAAGGGCAGTGTTAGTAAGTAACCTGCAAGATGTCTTTATACCTCTTTAACAATAGAACTAACATTCTATATTTTACATAATGTTACAAACACCCAATTTCTATTTCTCTTTACAGGTGGAGATCAATTTTTGAAAATGTTGAAACTTTGTGTATTGCAAGTGAATCAGCAGGAGACATTGAAAGTTCCATTTGAATGGACCTAAGGTGAAACTGATCAACATTTCTACTTGACAGTAACTGAATTGCAAAGTGGTGAAATATCTATAATTCACAAACTTTCAAAAAATCAGTTCAGACACTCAATGTGGTTCCCACTTGGAAGCTATTATAAGGCTTTTATCTCAACCTGCCAAAATGACAGAAGAGAAAAAAAGTAGCACATCTCAATTTGGAAGTGAAAGACCAGAGGTAATTTCATTTTTCTCATGCACAATGTGTCTACTACAGGGATGCAATAAATAACAGATTCATAGAATAACAACCACAAAATTCAGTGATAAACTTTGTATAATGTAACTGTAGATGTAACTATATCGTAAGTTGACAAAATTTAATCTATCTCAAAAAGATATTGTTTGAGTTTTAAAGCGGGTAAACTACGAAGCCCATTGGCGTCTCATAGAAAGCATCCATGTCAAAATCATTATACAACATATCACAGAAAAAAAAGGGAAAAGAATGTTATATCATTATTTTCAGTTGGTGCCTAAACAACCATTTTACCAACTTATGGTACTAGAGAAAGGTGCCAGCCATGTCCACGTGAAAATTCAAACCTCAGATCCTAATCCCTCAAGCATGTTGTTTCATCTCGACTTGGTCAATACTAGCAAACCTGACAATGGTGAGAGTCGTCAAGTTTTTGGTGATGACAAAATAAAATTTAAGCTGAAGCCAGGACAGGAATACAGACTTACAGGCTACACAATGGATCTGTACAAGAACTCCCTTGGTGGATTAAAATTCCGTGCAGGTAAGATAGATATATATATATATATATATATATATATATATATATATATATATATATATATATATATATATGTTCAGACAAAAAAGTTACTTAAGATGGGCCATTTTATTACCTTTTTTTTTCATTTATTTTTATTTTTTGTGAATGTGGTTTTCATCTTAATAAAGGACCATGTCATAGCATTGCCTTTAAGATACGTAGACCTTTTTTAAAAATCCTTGATTTATGTCCATTCATTACCTGTTAAAAAAGTGTGAGATGTCAATATTTATTTTGCTAAAATACCTTTTTGAAATATTTTTTCATTAGGTAAACCAGTTCATAAGTTGATATGTTTTCAAAGACAAGACAGCAAAACTGTCAAATGTACAGACAAAAAGCAGAAAATTATGATGTACAGAATAAGTTATTTTGTCAATTTTGATGCAATTTGCAATTACGTATTTTACAATAATAATCAACACCAAATTTTAATTAAGATTAAGAATATGTAACTAGCATAAGGGAAAACAGATGCAGTTGACTGCTCTAGTACAGACACATAACTGTCTGTACATAAAAAAGACTTATTTTTATATAAAAAAAGTGTCTTTATTGGGACCCTTCTTTACACATGTATATAACAATCAACAGGTATCAGATTATCATCTTTTCATGTGGCACAATCATAACAGATTGTTTACTATAAGTAAGTTTGGTCAATTTTTTTCCATCAAAAGATATTGGAACATCTTTCCCTCAGAGTGAAAGTTGGTAAATGCAAATAAATTTTACATTATAACATTGCATCAGTAATCATGCTTTAAATGTTCTCTTTGCAGAGTTGAGTAACTTGGAACTGAAAGAACTGCTGCAAAGGGCAACGATTGTTACAAATAAACGTGGTGGTAAACTCATTAAATGTAAATACTTGTATCGAAATAAAACTGACCAATACTTCATGGACATCTTTCAAAAAGATGGAATAATGAAGGTATACAAGAAAGACAAAAATGGAGACCAAGGGTCACCAATTAATGGAAAACTTGACGGACTGTTCTTTGCCTCTAACCCTGACCCGGAGACAGGACTTCCTCCTCTCAGGTCATTTTTTGGTCCAAGGAGAGTGAATATCCCAGCATCCGACCTGTTTGTGACAGGCACAAATCTTTATTTTGCTGATTTTTACTGCAATAGGAGAGCACATTATGTAACCCTTGTGCTCACTTTAGCTGGATCAACAGCAGACCAATTTTGCAGGGAGAAACTTCTTACAATTGATCCCTACAAAAACTTATTTTTCATGAAAGCCGAGGAAGAACATTCAAGCTATGTCTATACATCAAGAAATATTTGGGTTGAAATCTTTTACACAGAAAATGTCGACCTTTTGCCATATCTGTTTCGAGGTTTAATTGTTAGTGTGCCTAGCACAGGTACTTCCAGACCAGAAGGAATTCCTAAGAACCCAAAATGTCACATTTGTAATTTGTGAAACAATTTTACATGTAAGTAATAGTAATTTTCATGAAAAAAACATTTTCTGATCCTGTACAGTAGCAAAAATGCACAGATTTGCAGGGAAATAAAATGTTTGAGAGCCTTGATTATAGGTTGAAAATAATAAAATGTTGTGGCCACTGAAGAAGTGATTATGTACAAAGAACCAAAACAAATAATATTAATACTGAATCATGCAACTGCAAGGTAATTTTATAACCGGCACAGTGTCATTAACTTTACTGTGCAATGGACCTTAACTAGAAATAACAGAAGTAATCAGTTACATTTTTATATGCTAATCAGTAAAATCTACATTCATGTCAGACATAACAATATTGGTATAGGCATTTTATGCAGTGATAATTGTACAGTAAAGAAACATTTTTTGTGTTTTGCCTTTGTTAAGGTCCATTCAAGGCATGTGGAAAACTCACTTATTTACTTATTTATTATTAGAATCAGTCAGCATATTATCATTCACTTTGCATCAGTCTTGCAAGAATATTTATCTTTCTCTGTGTACAGACAAATGGATATCTTAAATCTGATAAGTAAAAACCTTTACTTGTTAACTATTGCATAATAAAAAGTATGTAAATCAGACGCTGCCACTGTGTCATGCATATAGATTCCCCTGTAGATAACGTGTATAAAGTCTGCATTTTGTACATAATAAACATACTTACGATTTGGAACTGAAGATGTGAGGTTGTTCTGTTATGCTTCTCTGTGAACAGAAAGTGAAAGACTCAGTCCGATCTGGAGTCATGTCGTAGCCCATTGATTAGTTAAGTCATTAATGGAAATCGTTATACTGAAATTCAGTGCAATTATTAATTTAAGTGAAAGTCATTTTGGAGGGTTCACAACACTTATAACTGTCTCTCATACATGTGTTACATGCAATGACTTTACCATCAAGTCCTGATGTAAAGGAACCATATCATAACATCTGTCAAATCTCTATGCAAATGCTTTGCTTACAAAATTGCATTAAAATTTATGGGATACTAAACAGTGTTTTGTTCCTATCCACAGGTTGTTCCTATCCACATGGCATCAAACAATTTTTCCTTAATTGATGTAATGACAAAACTGGGCACTTGGAAGAATAGCATGAAAATTCATGCATTAGCACTCCTATTTATGGTTCTGACATACGTGCCAGTATATATCGGAACCGTTAATTTTTGTGCTATTGGAAGAACTCCTCTAAGTTAACTTTTTTGAAGATACATTTGTTATATCTGCACAGGTAAATGGTACTACCAAATATATATATATTCCTTTAATATTTTGCCCCCACCCACAAACCCTTTCATTAAGTGATTAAGTGACAATAAATCATGTCAATACTCTTTTTTCCACCAAAAAAAAAAAAAAAATCAAAAATTTCATAGGAAACAAAATACTTTAAAGGGATTCAAATGAATCTATTACTTTGTAAATAATATCAATTATCTATTTCACAAAATTTTGATCTCTACATTTTGTTTCAGTCTTTCTCACTACTTTTTTTTTTTAAACCAAAAATCAGTCCTACCTGTAGATTGGATAAATTGCCAACACTGCATTTCTTCTAACATGGGAGTGACTATGATCTAGACAAGCTCTGATAGCTGGCATGAGGGGCTCTAAAAGTTCTGGTTCTTTCAACTTACAGAGGAATCTGAGGGTTGACCCCCTGATAAATTCATTGGGGTGCTGGAGATCCTACAAATGAGAAAGCGATCTATGACTACAAACACTTCAAGACTCATCCTATTGGCTATGAGAAAAGAAATACTTTGTGCATATTTTTCAAAGTAAAATATCTCCTAAAATCTTTCCCTTCTTAAACTATGGACAAAATCAGTTTTACCTTGCAATATGATTTTTGTCTTTCTCTTCTCTGATATATTCTTTTCTAAATTCAAAAATTCAAATAATGTTTAAATTTTTCCTATTTATTTAGGGGGCAGGGGTCTTTTATGCATTTCAATTGAAAGTTATCACCACTAAATTTCATATATTACAGCACACATACAATTATTCTCATTGATACAAGTATAAAAAGTATTTATTACATTTGTCCAACACAGAGGCCAACACAGAAGTATTTATTATGATTTTCTAAAATAGACATTTTTAGCATTTTATCAACAAATCATATCAAAATCAATAACGTTTACCCCTAAAACTAGTCAACAGAGAAAAGTTTAATCTGTATCTAAATGATTGCACTGTAACTGAAATCAACTTGCAATTTCTTATTTACCAAGGTCCTCTTTCAATTTCATTTCGGTTGGTGGCTCTGAATCAGATGGAATATTGATGAGGGTATAACACCCCTGCTCTGTGTTGGCCATGTTGACTGCAAAGAGAACACATCTTGTAAAAAAAATAATTGTTCATCTTATACATATTGTACTACAGTACCATCCAAAACAGCTGCTACAATATATTTTTCTTTTGAACTTATGAAACTGTCTTACTTAGTATTAGGACTTCAATTCAGGCCTCACATTTCAAACTGAATATAGATAAGATTAAACTATTTCAGAAGTCCATTTATGAAGTGTGTTAACTAGTCCGTGTTGAATTCAGGTATGCAATTTACAGAGAACATTCTTTCCACTTGCCTCTTGCAGCTCAAATACCATTCTTATATCTATAACTTAGTAACTGTTTGTTAAACCCACTTTACACTGGACGGTGTCCTTTCTGCGTCCTTTGTGGGACCATGAAAATTGGGATGGCTGTGTTCATTGGAAGGAGGGTCAAGCATCACTTTGGTTTCAGAATGAATGTGAAGTTGTCAGCATGTAAAGTTTATTTTTAACTCTCAAAAAACGGAATGCAGAAAAGATGCTGTCCAATGTAGAATTGAAGAGAAATATTGTAGCATCATTTGTTTTTCTAGCATTTAGTCAAGAGCTGAAGTAAGAGAACACATTTATGATATATGGGGTTATCAGGAGCCTGGAGACAGGAGCAAATGGATAAAATATTTAATTGATGAATAGCATGATCAAGTTCCATGATAGTTGTTTTTTTCTGTTTGTATATACTGTAGTCTTCCAAAATTCTGTTTAATGTTATATTTTCACATGGAACTCCTGGAATACTGTCCCAAACTTCCTTTTCAGTGGATGAATTTTGCAGAGTTCATTATTTCAGTATCACTTCAAATTTTATATCAGAAAGGGACTGCTCAGAAAAATGATTCCTGTTGACAGAAGACAATAAAATAGCACAAATATTAAACATCCACATGAAATGTCATTTTACAGAAATGTTATACTCAATTTTACCTCCTTGTATCACACACTCTGCCTTTCCACATTCAAGAAATTTATTTTCTTTTAAAAAGTAGATGGTTGTCCTACATCTCCTTAAATCTGCTCATAACCATATAATAGTAATAATAATAATAACTAAAGAAAATGTAACACTCCATCAGTCTTAAAAATGAACATTTAATTTTTTGTAATCATAGTTTTTGTCTATAAACAATTTCCAGTCCAGATGATAAACATTTTTTAAAGATAAACACATTCATACACAACAGTAATTATAATTTGAGTTCCCAGTCCCTATTTAAAGTTCAGTAATTATCTACAGGCTAACACCGATAATGTAATACAAAGCATTCAATACAAACCATCTAATTCATATGTATATATGTGTTACAGATTGTTTTTTTCTTACACCAGAGACATCACAATTAATCACTCATAAACCGTAATAAGGATACAACTTGACTCATTTTAGTCTGAATCTTAAATCAACTCAATGTCTTTATTAAACTGAAGATAATGCATGTTATAAGGTTTCAGTAGCAAAGTCTATCAAGAGCTAAATTTCCAGTTCAATCTTGCTCTACATCCCTTGAGGTTTGAGCTGCTTTTTCTGTGAAAGGTTGATTTTATCTCCTAAACTCAATGCCATACCCTGCAAATGAAAAGAAATCAGTGCATATGATTTTTTTAACAAAATGTGTAACTAAGATATAAATTCTGGTAATACAACTGGGTGAAAAAACTATCTATAAGTTAAAACAGTTGATTTTCAACAAACAAAATGCCTTAAAATGCAAGAATAAGTTTAACACCAAAAAGGGCAATGAAATTATGAAAAAAGTTGTCTATTGTTCCTCATATATTTACCTGACTTTTTGCTCTGATTCGTATGTGTCCAGTCACTGGGGCATCAGGCTGAGCTGGTTTCTCAACACTGATGTTGGCAAGTGCACTCTCTCCAAATATAGATTTAGCATACATATTAGCAGCCATGAAACCACACTCTCCATCCAAAGCCTGCAAGAAACAAGTATTGTATCCAATTGTTTTAATCAACTTCAATTACTGTAATTGCAATGAGAAGTTTGACTATGCCTATGGCCATGATCTCATTTACTCAAACACTTGGTAAATACAGAGATGAATTTGTATCAACAGGGATAAGTGTTTTCATTTTCACTTGAAAATAAAAAAATGTTGAATACTGTACATGTTAAAATTGCTACCATAAAGGTGAAATAGTTCTTGGTGAAAGACTTCAAAAGCAATCTGCATTTACATCCTAGATGCCAAGTTAATGTTTTTTATATAATGGATTACTTAACATGGTACTTTAACTGGGAGTAATAATAAAACCATTGTCTATAACTATTATGTTGAATTAAGCCAAGAACAGAAAAATATGTATCAATATAAAATAACATAAAAATATAAATCAATTTTGGGGGTTTGCAGTCAATATGCATAATGTCATTACTTAAAATGATGACAGCAATATCAGTGAAAACAAACTGCCACCCACTTACTACAATATACGGTTTCATAATACCACATACCAACCTTTACCTGCAAACAAACAGGATTTACCAATTTCCTGAAGTACATGATATTTTGAAGCCCAAGTTTACCTTTTCAGGTGTGAGACATTTCATGTTGGTTGAGCTGATCAAGTGTTCCAGATACTCTTTCAAATCAGATATATTAGTGTTGACGCTGACTTTGTTTTCCCACTCAAACTCAGCCCACATCTGTCTGAATTCTGTGTCTGTGCACGAGGCAGGCACTATGTAGTCCATAATGTCTATATGGATGTCATTCAGCACTACACAGTTGCGGTCACTGGCTGCTCCACTCACATCATATACTAAGTAAGGAAAATTATCATTTAAGTCATCTACAGATTTTAAGTCAAATCTGAATACATAATAAATTAATTTTAGTGAAAATTTGGATTTCCTGGAGTAAAGAACAATTTTCCTACACTTGCCATTGGTTAATGAATTCATTTTGACAGTCATAGTTAGTCCATGTTTTTTTAAATAATCTTTTAAGAGATTATTACTGAGTATAGTCATCTATGAAAGTTAGTGGTCTGATGGCACAGACAGATCCCAAAATAATTCTGATAACTGCCATTTTGGTGGTAAAAGAGAATATGTTATTTACAATGCATTTATTGTGAAACATGAATTTCATACAAAGATTTGTTATCCATTTAAACATGCACATGTCCACAATATCACAGTTCTTGTTTTTGCTTGTGAACATACTTACCAATGTTTCCAAAGATGATTCCATTTTCAGTGGAGGCTACTTTAACGTTGGCCTTGATGTTGCAGAAATCATGTGCACCCATAGTCACCGGCTGTGGTTTTTCAACCAGTTTAAGATCACCTGAATCAAATAAATATTTTAGTATAATTAAATAGCAAAGTCAATTGGTGGATACTAGAACGGGAGATGGCAACAATGCTGCTCCCATTAAAAGAACCCCATTCAATTTGGGCAAAAATGGTATTCATTAAGGATCTATGCAAATCTAAAATAATTCCATTATGTTCAACATGCATCATTGTTCAATATGCTATCATGGGAATCCATACATATCAAAGAGCACTAATTAAGGTGATAAGTTATTCTTTTCTTTTTTCTTTCAGAATTTTAAAATAGTTTTAAGTTATAGTTGGAGAAGTGCCATGCAAGTCTTAATCATTTCTACAAACGAAAAAAAACATTCACTATACATATGCCTAAAAGTGCAAGTTTTAAAACATTCTAATATCTATTAATATGCTGATGGTACAGGGGTTTATCTGGTTGCAGTTGGACACTGGAACAAATATGCCACAAAGTTTGTATATTATAAGGAAAAAAGGAAGGGTAAATTTAAGTTGAAAAAAAAAACAGCAGCATAGGGTCCTGTGGAAATGAAGAATTTCTATTCCTTCAATAAATATGAAAACCTACTGGTTAAAACATATTAAAAAGACTTAAATTTTACTATGAAGTGTGCATACTTGCAAATGCATGCACAGCAAAAATATCCAAAGACTTAGACCTAGAACATGATTGAACAATAATGAGAGACCTTATCAAGAGTTCCCTGTTTCAATTTAAAAACACACATTAATGGAATGTTTTAAGTATCACAAAGTATGACAAAAGCGGAAATGTGCCTCCTACCAAGTGTTGCCAGTTCCAGTGTCAGATTCTGGAGAGTGTCAGAAGTCTGGTTGACAATGAGGACATCTAACACTATGTCATACTGGTTGACATGGACGTATGCCTCAGCATACACTGGGTCAGAGAATCCCGTCAACTGGGTCACCTAAAGCATATGACAAGGAATGATATTAGTCACTTTTTTATATTTATTTATATTTTATATATATTTTATATTTATCTTACTATTTTGTAATAATAACAACATTCCACACAACCCTGATAATGAATTTCCCCTTTGGTGAAATCCACAATAAATTATCTCTAATTCAATGCTATGAAAAAGTGAAAGTAAAACTCCGTTAAAAATCAATAGCAAACAAAAAATCCAATGTCTTACCTTGTTCAGTTTTGATGACAATAGTGGGTCTGTTTCTTTCTTTCCAGGTACAGTGCCTAAGGCCTGGGACATGGTCAGCTCAAACATGTTCTAAAATTTTTTCAACAAAAACTAGTTAATGAGGATAAGAAACTTGTTAAACAGATTTTATTATGTATATGTTACTATTTTACACAAATGTGATAATTAATCTATGCGGACAAAACTAGTCTATTATTATTATTATTATTCAGAAACTGACTATTTCTCCTGACATAGTATTAAGTTTATGGATTGTAAAAGGATAGGTATACCTCTGTGGTTCCAAATTCATTCTTAGCAGCCAACTGAATGAAGCTGATGGGATCATCAGCTTGAATCTTCACAGTTTTAGATTCAGATGCCTAGAAATGAAAATATTGCAATAGAAGGTCTAGAAATTGGGACAATCTGTCACTTTCTTTAAATGATTAGAAAATGTTTAAATAAAACATTTATAGCATAAATCAACTCGCCTTAAATCTTCAAATATGATAAAACATGATAAAAATTATAACTCAGGATTCATAGCACTTGTAACATTCACTAGATACACTAGTTATAGAGCCTTGGCCCTTTTTACTGGAGGAAAACATTACAGTACCTTTTGTGTGAGCCTCTCATCTTCTGCCTTGGCAGCCAGCATGCCTGACAAGGATTCTCTGCACAGCTGGTTGAAGATCTCGTACATCTTGGGGGATCTCTCAGAAAGCACTTTCAAACACAGGGCAATGCGATCCAGGGCATCATCATTGATGGGCTTAAATGTAGAAAACATATTTAGCTACAATGAACACTGCAAAATGTAATTTCAAACAAAAAGTCTCTCAAAACTAGAAGCCAATCCCATGCTTGTTGATGTGTTCAATAAGAATTAGCCTAAAATTGCAGTTACTAAAACATAATAAATAGATAAGAAATTCTCATGTGCAGAATATTCTCAAATGTTTTATTTATTTATTTTTTCTAGATAATATAAAATGCATGACATTTTTATAGAACATATTGTCTTACCAGTGTAGAAAGGCCAGATTTCCCCAAGTGTATAATAGTAGACATAATCAGCATGCACTCTGCTACAAATGACTGGAAAATAAAAACAAAACAGAGATAAATAGTCATGAATTCAGTCTGCAACTTAGGCAATGATGATAAAACTTTCACTCACTCAAACACAAAATACCTCAACTTTTGAAAACTTTCATTAAGACAAGTTCCCCATTTTATCAGTTTACCTTGGAAAACAAAGAAAATGCTGGAAGAAAATACAGCATATGCTGTTTAAATCTATTTTTGGTTTTATAACATTGAAAACTTGCTCCAGAATTCTTACATTTTGTCTCCTCGGTTCTGTGACAACCTGGGTGTATCTCAAAGCAAGCTTAGTGAGGGTGTTGGCCAGGGCAGCACCAATAAAGAAGTCTCCCTCCATCAGCCATTTCCTCAATGGTGGCCTGGTTTTGGAGTAAATAGCATTTAGCTGAACATGATGGAGAAGAGCATATCATGGGCAGGAGTAAATGTTAATTACCACATAATTCTGATTTAGCATGCCACAGCTTAAGTAATGAATGGAAAGTTCATGCTTACAGTAAGGCATACAGTAAGGCCAATGGTATACTGACTACAGTTCACTTAAGCATAGGACTGAATGTAAATTCAAAGTTATTTGAACAATTATATTCTGTTACCACCCTAATATTTTGTAATTTCATTCACTGTAAATGAAACATTTTTTGATTGTGTACATTAGTACGTTGAAGCATAAGATTCTAATATACTACAGGACGTCAGTGCAATACCAGCTTGCACAATGACAATATTGATTTCTAAAAACATACATTATAAAAACATACAGTGGAAGTATTCGTTTATGTTTCAGCCTAATAAAATTTACATGGCTATAGACTGTTTGTACAAAACTGCACACTTAAAATATCATTCCATAGTGTAAAATATTCTATATGGAAGAAAGTTCTATTGAGAGATCTGTGTAAGTATGTAAAAAAGGTCTTACCTCTCCTCTGCTCCCTTGGTAGCAGAGACAGTACTAAATGCACTCTGAGTGGCATAAGTCCCGAGCTCTGTCACCAACTTCTGCACTGTGCCAGTCTGGGCCACCTGGGACTCTGGATCAAATGATTAACAGCAAGTTTGAAAAAAATTCCTAGCTGTTCTGCACTTTGAAACTATGTTGAGACAACTTTTTATGCATCCATATCTGGAAGTCCATTTTATATGCAACTAGATTTTTACTGAAATTTATCTTAAATTATTAACACAACTTACCATCTTCCTTAGTTTCTCCTGCAGCTTTTCTTATTTCATCATCAACAATTGGAATCTGGAAAAAATACCAATGAACTTCATAATTCTGCATCAATTAAGATCTATCATAACTAAGAAAAAGTTGAATGAAAACATTTTAAATACAGAGCACACACTTTTTGCTAATTACAAACAAAAATATCCCTATTATGAAAGCTTTCTTAAGCAAACTCAATAATTACATAACATTTACAATGTCTGATTATTAATTTTTCCATTCTAACTCAAACCATCTTCTCACCTCTCCCAAAGACTGCCTAATCTCTGTCATGACACTCTGAATGTCATCTTTGCTGATACAGTACTCTCCAAGCAGCCATAAGGCACCGCGAAAAACCCTACAGTAATAGTTAAAAAGAACATGGTAAATAACATGAAAAATATGACAAAACAGTCTGGTATACAGACAGACACAAGTACCAGTTTATCATAGCAAAGTAATGATAAGATGCATAAAACTACCTGGTATGGTGAAAAAAAGAAAACAGAACTGCCTCTTTCAAAACTTTGAAACCTGCAGTTTCAGGATCTTGTCCGATTTCTCCTTAACTGATTAAATACTTAAAGCTATAAACTATATCTGACTTATCAATTATCTTAAACCTCAATCACTTTAATAGGATAAATTATATAATGATGCTTAAGACCTGGGTTAAACCATAAACATACTTGATAGACTTAATTGATGAGAAAACTTCCAGCATCTTATTGACCACAAGAGGGCGCAGGTCTTCAAATCTCTGCATGGCTTCACGCACAAACACCAACACATCCAAAGCAGCCAGTTCATTAGCATCATTCAAAAACTCCATCAACTGTAATATATACAAAATGCATGTTAAATATTTTCAGTTTCATGTTTAAATGCCAATTTTCTTTTCCAAGTTTTTAGCTACAGTATAACGTCTGACATTAAATGGAGCAGACTGATACACCTTGACCTGACACTAAAAGATTAACTGATCTCCAAGAAAGGCCAAATTAAGTACTTGGAAATTAGTATCATATATTACTATCATCTTTTATTTTATGACATGGGTCTCTGTGCAATCTCGTTGTTGATTATGTCTTAGACCTTTTTCTGTCTATGTCAGTTTAATTGTGAAAAGATCTTTCAGACCTCCTGCCACAATAGTACATACCACTGGTATAACAGTCTGGGCCACATCAGGGAACCTCACACAGCACTGGTGGAGGGTACGGACTAATAGCTGGCGGTACTTGCCAGTGTCCTCCTGCTCAACTGTGTTGTTAGTCTTCACCACTTCCTTCTTCAGAACCAAAACCATCTGACAGGAAAGATAGGAGGAATTACCTTCTGATTATGAAAGTTGCATGCACTGTAAAGCTGTTCCACTTTAAAATACAACTACTCAAGTCAGATAAACCACGGGACTGCATTGGCCATTTCTTTTTACAATCTCTTGTTCATCACGATATCTAAAGTTTCCAATGACCAAAATTAATCAAAAGTTTAAATTTCATTGTAAATATTTTTAATTCAAAATCAAAGTTCCTCAAATAAATAGGTACCTCTTCCACATTCCTTGATGTGATAAGGTCCAGTGATAACTCCAGAGTCTTTCTGCGTACTTCAAGATCAGGAGCTGACAACACTCTTAAGATGTCCATTACAAGTTCCTATTAAAACAAAACATAACTTCCATGATAACATAATTTACCCTTNTTTAATTCAAAATCAAAGTTCCTCAAATAAATAGGTACCTCTTCCACATTCCTTGATGTGATAAGGTCCAGTGATAACTCCAGAGTCTTTCTGCGTACTTCAAGATCAGGAGCTGACAACACTCTTAAGATGTCCATTACAAGTTCCTAGTAAAATAACAAAATATGACCTCCATGATAACATAATTTACCCTTACTACTTCTGATACACATAAAATTTGGCATACAGAACAAGTACAATTTCCTAGGAAAGAGAGAGAGAATTTGGCCAGTAGACTACAAAAGAGGTATAAAAGTTTCATCAATATTCCTCTTACTTAAAACTTATATAATAACTTTTACTGACTACCTTTGTGGCTTACAGAGAGATTATACTAATCATGTTATAAAATATACTGTTTACAGGTACAGTTTCACACTCACCTGCAGCACTTTCTCATGTGATGGTACCTCTTTCAAGGCAATCAACCTGTCCAACACAATAAGTTTCACGTTGTTGTCACTCTCCTTTACGATAAGTTCAATGTAACAGCTGGCAGCAGCCTTAAATAATAGGAAATTACATTATTATTATTCCAATGTTAAAAGTGGTAACATCTATAGAGTCACCAGCTTACAGTTACCCTCCAAGACTGGAAGGAGGTTTTTAAAGGTACATACGAACCGAGCATCAGTGGAGCGTGGATTCCCAGTAACACATGTAAACAACTTCTACTAATTTCTTGTACAAATCAAATAAATTTGACATGCCAAGGGATAAATTGAATAGATCATTCTATCAGCCATAAAAGAGCTTTAGACTGCTCCTTTCTTAAAATTTTTGGTCGGAAATTTAACCTACTTTCGAGACCTACTTTTCTGTCCCATTGACATACAGCATAGAATGCTAGTAAAAAAATCTGTTCAAACATCATTTTTGGGTAAAATTAAACAATGCTCTTTGGTAATTCTCTTAGTTACACTACTTGAAACTATATGCTGGCATTTGGTTGGTTTTTGTGGCAAAAAACTGACTTTGTTTACATCTTTAAGAAAAAATTGTCCTGGTCCTTGGCCCTTGCTTGCAAGCATTATAAATTCAAAATGGGGAAACATTCTGTCAGTGCAAAGATAAGAACTAAAGGTAATTTACTCACCAAAAAAAGAACTAAACCTATTTCTCATGTAATTTTGTCAACCAGTGATGTTCTTACATATTTTAAAGCTTAGCTTTGATCACTACAAACCTGTCTAATTCATTTGGATTGTTACTCTACTCACTTTGATTGCTGTTGGAGCACTGGATAGAGTGACCAAGGTGCCGGCTGCCTCATATCTCACAGCTGGACTGGAGGAATTCAGTAGATTGTAAATACAGCGAATGAAGCGGGATCTCTCAGATGGATTGGCATGGCACACCTAACACATTAGGAAAATGAGCATTTATGAAAATAAGAATGACACACCTTGAAACTGGGGAGAGGGAAAGTAAGAAGGGCACTGATAAATTCTTTAATACATTCTAAATATACATAGTTTTTCACACTTCCCAACTAAAACTCGAGGGTCACAGTTTATTACCTTGTAGATAAGTTCCACTATAACCAACTGGAGAATGTCTCCAAATGATGTCACTTGGTCTATGCAGCTTACAAGGTAGGTCAGAGCACGCTCCTGAGAAATATTCAATTGCAAGTCTTCAAATTCTTATAACAGACATTGTATATTGCAAACATCCAAGGCATATTCAAAATCAATTTACATGTAATAAGTAACATTTGATATTAATTATAAACACACTCCAAAGGTAATTTGGCTAATATTTTGTGAAAGCCATAGATTCACATTTGTTAAAAACAAGTATTAAACAAAGTTTAGCAAAGCCTGAATCAAAAGTATGATAGATTGATCAAGGTCTTATGAAATATAACAGACAGTCATTTCCAAGTACCTGGTCAACATGTATCAGCATCATAAAGGCATTTCTCTTGCAGGATGCATCTTGTTCACCCTCCAAGAAATTGGCAATTAACTCTGGAGCATCAGGGATCAAAAAGTCAAAGTTTCTGAAAAAAAATATTGAGATATTAAGATATTATGTTGAAATGCATGTAGAATGCATGTAGCCATTAAAGGCTATTATCTAAAACTTCTAGGATGTCTCCTTAATATCTTTTGTGACACCTTTTTAGGGATTATCAGTATGTTTTTGTTGTGCACAGATACAAGACATAAGAGAGGTTTCACAAACAACAAATAAAGAAGAATGTAGCTTCAATTGCAAGTTAAATCATTATTTTGCATTCACCATAACTTTGTTTAATTAAATTCATTCAGCCTTGAAAAAATTTTGATAATTCTTTGTAGAATAAATAATCTTGATGACACTTGATAAGCCTTTGTCTGCTAAAAAGTATTACCAGCATTGAGGTTATAACCTATTAGGCCAAGAAGTGAAAATTGGTCAACCACAGGTAGGTCTCTTGGGTATATTTCAGTATTTGACAGACTTTGCTAAAGAATGAAAATTGTTAATGAGACCAAGCTGGTTAACAAGTTGATTAACCGCTAAATAGCAGAAGTATTTCTTTGCTGTCCAACCCTGAGCAATATTTTTGGCCTGCCACAAACTCTCTTCCAAAAGAAAGAACTTCACTGTGCAAATTTGTGAAAATCCATTTATCAATCACAGTTTACTTACTAGTTGTATTGCAAACCCACGTAATAACAATGGAACCCTACCTTTAAAAGTTCTATTTTTACATAGACTCTTTTACAGACTGCAATGTGTTCTATTTTTACATAGACTCTTTTACAGACTGCAATGTGTTTTTATTGGAGATCACAACAATGCCCAAATATACAATAAGATATTTGGTTCAATAAACCTATTCAAGGGAAACAAAATGTATCCTCTACGAGGGCAGCAGATATTACAGGTACATTTTCCACCAGCCACAGTTAGAAGATTTACCATATTTAGCCAGAGACATTATCTGGGAATATTTAGTAAAAAACCATTTAATCAGTGGGCCTGGTAGAGGGCAAGCAAAATGGGATAATAAAATTAATCATCAGATAAGCCATAAACTGTAAAGAGCTTTAAAAATGTCCTTCATCAAATATTGGTTATAAATTGACCTACTTATCTGCCTCAGTTATGGACAGCAAAGAAAGTAAGGATAAAATATTCGTTCAAATATCATTTGGCAATATGAAATAAAATCCTGTGGTATTTCTCTAAGTGATACTATTTAATTCTATATGCTGACATTTAGCCGGCTTTTGTGGCTAAAAATTGACTTCAAATGCATCTTCACTGGAACTTTGTAATTCGGGCTCATATGCTGGACCAGATAAAAGTTCACAGCCTGATACTATCAATTTTCTTGATAGTATCTTCCTTAGTTCTGGATTTACAATGCAAACCACAACAATCTTACACCAATTTAAATACCAGTTAAATTGATGATAAATAAGGCAGAAGCTTGTTATCAAGCAGTCATAGAGTTGATTTAAGTTGACATAACACATCAGCAACATATTTCGCTTCAAATATACACACAACAGATATGAGTGCAACCGTCATGATCTGATGGCAAGAAATACTACTGCCCATGCGTCCAGGTATCAGAATCTCCTCCGAGCGCAGCTGAGAATTAATTACAGTTTTGGAAACGACTCGCTCGAGTTAATTAAGCCCCAGGGTATTCAGGGCACAGACCGTGATCACTACATACCACCAATGGATTTTTGGAATTTCGATTTTTCATGTGAACAATGCCTAAGACTACTTCACATGTAGCGGACAGTTGATCTTAGCAAAAAAAAAAAACAAGGCAGCAAAGCTGTCAAATGTACAGACAAAAAGCAGGAAATAACAAAATAGGCTACTGTCAATTCTGATGTAAAAGTACATTATGTTAAACTGCAAATTCAACATCAAATTTTAATTATGCTCAACAGGTAATACCAATGTAAGTAAAATGTGTAACAAGCATAAGGCTTCAGGCCCATGGGAGTTCAAGTTCACACTTTGAAAATGTAAAACTTCCAGAAAAAGAAGTCAATTAGACTGCTTTTCCAACTCGAGCTGCATTTTAGTCCTGTGTTTCTTTTTTAAAAGTTTGACAATCATAAGTAATATGGTTTTCCCATGATGGTCATCATGGCAGCAATACCCAAAATTGTGTTTTCTTCTATTTTGATGCAATATTTCATAATGCTTAACAGCATAAAGA